ATGCATGTTACATCCATTTGCAGACAACGTTACACACAGTAGTACCGAGACTGCTCTCCTTAGCAGGCCTGCCACAAGGCTGGCCCTTGGCTAGTGTCTGGGGAAGCAGCTGCCTGCACTGACATGAAACTTGCCCTACATGGTAAGGTGGCTCACCGTGACCAGACTAGACAACCTGGGTGTGCACGCCGAACACCTGCTATCTTGCGGAGTGCCTGGAATCACAGTGGCTGACACCCATCACACTTGCACTCTGTGCCTACACGGCTGATCCTAATAAGACCTCGAGTGACCTTCCCTGAAGTGGACAACATTTCACACACATTTCCACAAGCTGTTCCTAGGAGAAGTAAGTGCATCCTGCACGACTTGGCTAAGAGGGGATTCTGGAAGGCCTATGCTTGATTTCCCTTTGCTAGTCTGCTTTGTACCCTTTCACTGTAGTAAGTTCTAGGTATGAACATGACCACCTTCTGGGTCCTGTGAGCCATTCCCATAGTTAATCGCTGAGGCTGGGGGTGGTCTTGGACAGCCTTGACTGTGGATGTTCTTACCTACCATGGGAAACACATTGCCAGCCTCATCAATAGGCCCTACTGAATATCTCACCTCAGGTTCCTCTCTCACACTCCCCAGGAGAAAAAACCTTCACAGTATTACCTGCACATCATCCTTCAGCAATCACAGAACAGTCATGTCTGCAAAACATGGGAGAAATAATGCTATAACACTTCACCACTGTCACTGTAAATAATTTTGCATACTAGGCCTGCCTGCATCTGACCATTTTTAAAGTTTTAGTAAATAACAAATTAACACTTTCTTAATATAAAAATATACCAACAAAATTTATTCTCGAGAGGTCAGGAAGAGAGGAACTCTAGACAAACCTTATAATGTGCCATCAGTGGCCTTATACATGTAAGGTCTAAAATAATAGACTTGGTTGGGGCCAGCAGATGGCATAATGTTTACATCGCTGGACTCCCACATAGTCAACTGTGGTTCGAACCCCGGATTTGGGGCTTAAACCTCATGCCAGACACATGTGTGTGCCCAAAATCTTGAGAAGAGAGTAGAGGAGAAGGGATTGCGGCATGGCCATCCCTCCTAGGGGGTGATTTCCTGCTTTCTGTCTCTCCGTCACTCTCTGTCTCTCTGACGAACACACACAACCTATAGCAAAAATCTCTCTAGAAACAATAATAAATAAAACAGGGAACCAGCCAGTGGCATGGTGGTTAAGGTGCTGGGCACTCTCACATGGTCGACTATGGTTTGTCTCAGACCAGGTGGCTTGCTTTCTCACTTTCCCTCTCTCTCTGTGTGTCTCTCTGGTCAAATTAAAATAGATGAATGAATAAATTAAATTAAATTAAAAATCCCTTTTTAAAATTTTAAAAATAACATCACACATTCAATAAAAGATCACTAAAGGGCCAGCAAGTGGTGTGGATGTTAAGGCATTGGATTCCACATGGCCAACTGCACAGTCTGAGTCTTAGACCCAGCGGCTTGAAAATCATGCCTGGCACATGTGCATGCATGTTCGAAATCCCAAGAGGAGAATGGAGACGGGATTGTAGCGTGGTCATCACCCCTGGAGGTGATTTCTCACTTTCTCTTTCTCTCTCATGAGCTCACAAATCTTTTTAGATAGCAAAACATCTTTTTTTATAGCAAAAAAAAAAAAAATTTCCCATCTGAAATCAAACTCCATCCAACACACCTGTCCTGTCCATTATCTCAAGACACCGACTTCAAATTAATTCTCTTAAGATATGAGCAGTTCCGGGACCAGCAGTTGACATAACGGCTATGTCACTGGACTCCCATATAGTCGACCGCAGTTCGAGTCCCAGACCCAGTGACTTAAACTCAGGCTGGGCGTGTGTGTGTGTGTGTGCCCAAGATCCTGAGAGGAGAATGAAGGAGAAGGGACTGTGGCGTGTCCATCCCCCCTGGGGGGGATGATTTGTCCCTTTCTGTCTCTCTGTCTTTCTTTGTCTTTCTGGCAAGCACACAGGCCCTATAGAAAAAAACTCTCAAAAAAAAAAAAAAATATGCGCAGCAGTCCCCTGAAAAACTAGAAAGTCATCTAAAGGACAAGAAAGGCATCTACGTTCAAGGAATGAAAGAAAGCGCAAGAGGAACTTCCTGGCTTCGCTCAAATGATAGCTGTACGTCCACACATCCCTAAAAGCCAGCCTTGTCTGTAATTTCCAGTCACTTAATGAGCAAAATTTAAAAAGGTGGGACAGGACTATCAGCATTATAGACCTTTTTCCAATACAAAGTGTTTTAAAGTCATGAACTTTCTTTAAAATACCAAAGGTCATTTGCTATGGTTAAGATACTCTTCTCTAAAATAAGAACCACAGTCAGCTCCTTTAATGGTGAGAAGGAAAACAGAGAGAAGAAAAAAGCACATTCCTACTTTCCTATCCTCTTCAGACATCATCCCTGTGAGGAGCTACAAGGAGGAAGAGAAAATCAACCTTCTGGCTTTCTATACCATTTAACGGCTTCTAAAAGCTCATAAAAAAGAAGCAAGTTCCCCACATCTTAAGGTTTTCCTTCTGCCAGCTCATCTCCTCCACCCTCTCCTTCCTCGGTGGTCCTCCCATTCAGAACCGAGCTGAAAGTGGAAAACTACTGCCCTGTGATAAGGCCGTGATGCCTGAGCCACTTTACTTCTGGAAATAAAGCTGTGGACATGGGCTCATGGCAAATGGCACTCATGCTCTGAGGACCCTGCCCTACAAGGACATGGGAGGCCCAAGTTAACCAGCGGCTAATTCAGAGACAAAGAGACTGGAAGGACAAACAGAGATGAAGAGCAGAAAGCGAGTCCTTAACCT